GGTTTCCTCCTCTCTCTCTCTAATCATTTGATTGATTTACTTTTTTTGGTTTCATGGGCCTTCCCAATTAGAGACATGCTTGTTTTTTGTTTGTTAAGGCAGTATTATAACAAGTGGAGATGTTCTACAGATGAACACAGAAGAAACAGCTCCTGTGAATAAAATGTTTTTCTGTCTAACATTTAGGATTTGGGGTTTGGGATTAGAAATTGCCAGATTTTCAAAGTAGAGCAGTATTTATTTTGGAGCCTAAACATCTTTAGGACTACAAAAATGGAGTTAGTTGGATATTGATATGGACTCTAACTCTGGCTGAAATCGAACAGTTGTCTGGCTTGTATGATAAGCCATATCTAGAGGGGAATCAGGATAACAAGCCATCCATCCGCTTTGACAAGACTAAGTCTCTCCTAACACTTTCTGTGCAGCGGGCTGTAGACATTCTGGATCTGGTAGCGCTGAAGTTCAGTTTGTTCAAACCACTTCCCGCTGAAAAGCAGGATGAGTAAACTAAATTGCTTTTCAGATCATCCATGGTGATTTTATTTGGAGAAATTTTAGGGGTGTCTGGGTGGCTCAATCGGTTAAGCATCCAGCTCTTGATGTCGGCTCAAGTCATGATCTCATGGTTTGTGAACTCGAGCCCCATGTCGGGCTCTGCATTGACAGCATAGAGCCTGCTTGGGATTCTCTTTCTCCCTCTCTGCCCCTCCCAGCTCTCTCTCTCTCTGTCTCTCTCACAATAAATAAATAAACTTTAAAAAGAGTAAAAAGAAATTCAGATTTATATATGGTTATAACATTGTTCAACACCTGCGCCTTCACTCATTTCATAAGTGGCATCCCAAAGGAAGAGTGACAGTAGGACCATCATTTATGAAACTAGACTTGATTTCAGTGTTGCTTTGAAGAATTCCCTGTACTAACCTTTCATTCCATAAGCATATATCAAGCAAATTTATGTGCTCCTCTTTACGATTTTTCAAAATGTGCACACATGCACACACACGTGTGTTAATTCTACTATATATAAATATAGCTAAGTATATCTTAATTTTATATATATATGTGTATATATACACATATATATATACATATATACATGCATGTAATTAACTCTTCTCAGGATGATATACACTTGAAAGGTTTGTCATGAATACAAGTTTATATGAATTTATATTTTAATTTTTTTTTCAACGTTTATTTATTTTTGGGACAGAGAGAGACAGAGCATGAACGGGGGAGGGGCAGAGAGAGAGGGAGACACAGAATCGGAAACAGGCTCCAGGCTCCGAGCCATCAGCCCGGAGCCTGACGCGGGGCTCGAACTCACGGACTGCGAGATCGTGACCTGGCTGAAGTCGGACGCTTAACTGACTGCGCCACCCAGGCGCCCCTTTATTACCTTTTTTTTAGTTTATTTATTTATTTTGAGAGAGAGAAAGAGAATCCCAAGCAGGCTCTATGCTGTCGATGCAGAGCCCGACATGGGGCTCGAGTTCACAAACCATGAGATCATGACTTGAGCCGAGATCAAGAGCTGGACACTTAACCGACTGAGCCACCCAGACACCCCTAAAACTTCTTTTAAATCAAAAATTCCCACAAGTTTTCAGAAATCTTTTCTGTATTTTCTGTATTCCTAATAGATGTCACACATTTCAGGATATATTCTTTGCAATTTTGAGACCATTTCTTTGCAAAATAATTTTGAAATTTGAAACATATTATCCAAATATTGATAAGCCAATAGAAATTTCAAAAATGCAAGCATGCCTATAAGAGCCACAGCACCCAAAGGAGATGGATTTAACTTAGGAGTTTTGAATCTTTTGCATATCCCCAAGGAAATCCTGCAAATCCCCAGGTGCTTTACTGTTAATACTGTATATTGTAAACCACAAGTATTTCATTTCAAATATGAAATTACATTGTAGTGTTTAATATTCTTTTTCAAACTATGTTTCTCTCTGCCTCTCAACTCACTTTCCCCAATTCTGATTGCACTTCATTCTGAGGATTGTGCTGCCTTAAACCCTACCTCAAGATTCATTCTCTAATGTAGTAGTTCTCAACTGGGGCCGATTTTTACCCTTCTAGGGTCATCTGGCAATGTCTGGAGATATTTTTGGTTGCCACTATGTAGAGGAAGTTGGCATCTGGTTGGTAGAGGCCTAGAATGCTGCTAAGCATCCTACAATGCACAGGATAGTTTTCACAACAAAGAATTTTCTGGTCCAAATGTCAAAAGTACCAAAGTTGAAAAACTCTAATGGGATATTTGCTGGTTTTGAGATTTACAAAAGGGTGGAAACCGAGCAAGGTATCTATGAGAGAGGGCTAAACATTTTACCTAGAGTTGAGGGTACTAACACAGTGATCTCGACCAATGCTTCTGAAAGTTTAATGTGCACAGGGATTTTGTTAAGATGCAGATTTCAATTCAGTATCCCTGAGATGAGTCCTGACCTTCTGCATTTCTAACAAGCTCCTAAGTGATGCTGATGTTTCTGGTTTGGGGCCTATATTTTGAGTAGCAAGGAGCTAGATAATTCAGTATGGGTCCTTAGGAAGATGCCCTCGAAAAATGACTACAAGAGAGGAATAATTCCATTATGTATCAATTAGAGGTCTGGAATATCTGTAAGAACTATCTCTCTGTCTATCTATCTATCTATCATCTGTCGATCACAAGAATATCACAATAAACTTAACATTATTTAACTTACTTAAATAAAATTTTATTTATTTAAACATAACCTTTATTATCAAAGTTATGCACAAGATTTTACAAAGCCACTAGTTCTAGACAGGAATTTTGATGAAGAAGAATAATCTCTTGACTTCTTCCTGCTCCTGTTTCCTACTCTACAGATAACCAGTTTCTACTAGTCTAGTGTATTCTTTTGGCACTTGAATCCTGTTACTAAGTTACTTCCTGATACTGTTACCTGCTGACTTTTTTGATTTGAGATACTTACTGATTCCATACAACAGAAAATAGGGTCAAACTCTTACGGCCCAGACTTTCTTCTCCTCACATGTGTATACTTTCTTTCAGCCCTGTTCTCTGAAGGAATCTTTTATTAGATTGGTATTTATAGTTTGTTATACTATGGGTTATGAATATATACTTATAATTCATAGTTAATCTACTGACCATGATTACTTTTCTTGAACAAAATTTATGTTTCATGGAGTTATTAATTGTCTCTTCTTAGTTTGGTATTACCCATAAACAATTAATCTGCAAATTCTCTGATGGAAGTGTGAGTCTCTTCTTATCTGTAGGCACATGAGGCCTTTGATCTATTTCATACTTTTCAAGAAGAGATTCCATCTGGAGCGCCTATTTTTCTGCTTCAGTGTTCTCCAGATTCCCTGAAAGTCTATTATTCTAGATCTTCTTTCATCAACACCTGACCAACATCCCTGACCTCTCTGTACTTCTCCCCGTCTCCTAATTCCATGTCTTCCTTTTCCTTAGCTAATTGCCTTGTATGATATAACATATTATCTAGAGACTTCCTGACAAGGGGTACATGGAAGTAAAATATTTTGAGCATTAGCATGCTCCAAAATGTCATTATTTTTCTCTGGCAATTGTTGGATGATTTGACAGGGTATAGCTTTTTAGGGGTTGAAAGCGAACTGTAGTTAATGAAAGCACTGATCCGTTATCTTTCAGATCTTGATAATCTTATCAGGAGGCTCAAATCTGTGCTTTCATGTCCCAAGTCTTTCCGGGCTTTGGTGACACATTCAGTCTGTTCTAGACTTTCCTGACTGATGGTGTTCAGCATATTCTCTGATAGGCTAAGCAGGTCACTACTATTCCAAGAGCTTTGCAACTTCCAACTGTTGCTGATAGCTCCTCTTCTCTACTCCTTTGTCCTCATGCCTCTTCCATAAAAGTATACATCTGCAAGGACAAGATGGATTCAAGAAACCATATAGAAACAATAAAGATAAAAGAAATTGAGATTTTCAGGAAGTAAAGGATCTGCCCTGAGCCTAGTCTGAGACTTTGGTGCAGTAAGTCTGCCAAGTTCCCCAACAGGAGATAAACTAGCATTCTTTAAATACCTACACACCGCATTCTTCATGTATGTAATGTCATTTAATCTCTTTAAGAATTTCAAGGTAAGATATGGGAGAGATTCATCAAGTTACCTTAAGAAATAAAGTGTCAGATTTTAGATGGAGATCTTTTTCCCTGAAGGACTAGAATAAAAGATCCTCAATATAAATAGAAATGCAGTGCTGGGCACACAAAGATGAAGTCCTAACTCTGCTGATCCATGACTCACCAATGTATGTTCTGACCAACGCAGCAGGCATTATTGTGACCTTCATCCATTGTTCCAACTGATGGAGAGCTTTTTAACAACAGGTATTTCTTTGTCCACAGCTTGATAGACTAGATACATTTCCTTCTATGGACTTCTTGAACTAGCACAGACTCTTTTTTAGAAAAATCCTCATTGAATGTTTACTTTTCCTTTACTGTAGTAATATTTTTTTTGTGGTACCAGTAGTGATGAGTTTAGGGAATGTGTCCATTGGATAACGTGTTATTACTTTCCCCTGCTCCATCCAAATCACTGTATATAGACCTAAATTCCCATTAGTTGCCACCAGTCATGTAAGTGATGTTTCCAGGAGGAAATTTTTATGAATAGGGAAAGTAAAATCACAAAATGTAAGATCATCAGGAGAGCAAGGCAACAAAAAAACCATATCCTCATTTTGGAGTAAAGATGATGTTTGAGGAATAGGGTAACAAAAATTCTTCATTATGGGTGGAGAAGTTTGGAGAAAGTGCATTTGTTGTGTAAAGTATTTTAAAAACCAATGAACCATGAGGTGGGCCAACCATGGACTGTCATCAGACACTCATGGTCATCTGGTATACACTTGTGGCTGGCTAAGTAGTGTTTCATTGCTGAGTGAGACACTCCAGGGTTTATGTCCAACATATGATTCTTGCTTCCTTTCAGGTTTCAAGTTCTGTCCCACAATTTTCCAGTGATTCTACAAGGAGCAAAGTCCATAAGCAAAAGGTTTGAGCTAAAAACATAACCATCAGCAAATATTTAAGATGTTTTTATTTTGTGTTGTTTTTTTATTATTTTCCTGCCTGGTATGCTAGGGAGAAAAAAAAAACTTGAAAAATTCTATATCTTCAAGTTATTAAGAAGGTATTTGTGATTTTCATTCTCAGTGTATTATTTAGCCAGGTATATCCCTATTTTCTTTCTTTTATTTTGCAATGTTCACTATGATGTTAGTATGGAAAATAAAATATGACTCATATTGGTTATAAAGATAGATTACATGTGTACAAAGAATTCTGACCTCAAATTAGGAAGTTGAAAATTTCCTAAAATCTGCTCTAGCAAACATTACTGGAAACATTTGTATGATTTTTTTTAAACCTCTCAAAAACATGATTAATTCATGTATATTAGTAGAAAATGAGAAAAAAATGGATTTTGTCCAAACCACCTATAAGATACTATTGCCATCTTGACTCTTGTATACAAAAATGGTGGCAGAATCAGAAAATATGGAGACTAAAAATTATATATTAAACAAGGAACTTATTAAAGTTATAAAAATGACATTATAATCTTAATTAAGCCAAAAATGATATTCTAGTTTCCAGTTGCAGATGCAAGTAGTCATTTCACAATTTACCTTGGGCTGATTGACTAATCTCAATAAAAACTTAAGTGATTCAGAAATGTAACTGTCTCAGAAAGTAAAACTTCAAGAGCCCTGTCCTCAATACCTCAAGTCCCAGAGTGACAATGGGAGTCCCAATGGACACCTTGGAGAATTTAGCCCCTCCTTCAACTTTAATTTACCCTGTGGTTAGAGTCTACTACTAAGATACTAATTTTTGAAAAAGAAGATGAGACTAAGAGTATGAATAAATAAGTAAATGAGTAAATTACTAGAGAATCTTGGGGACCAAGAGCAAACCACTTGATCACCAAAAAAACCCAAAAAACAAAAAACAGCAGTAAGAATATCCACTTCACAATTTGTACTAGCATCAGTATCACCAAGGACTAATTAGTTCAGAATCCTTGAGAAGAGAACACATTCCTTGAAAAGTAAATAAATATTCTGATGGGTTCTTGCCTTAGAATCTTTAAAGGATTTTGTGTTGCAAAAAAAAAAAAAAATGTTGAATTAGTAGTATTCCTTCTACAATGATATTTGTCTCTCTTTCTTTTTTTTTTTTTTTTTTATTGAAAGAGAGAGACAGCCAGCATGAGACAGGTAGAGAGAGGGTAGAGGTCGAGAGAGAGAGAGAGAGAGAGAGAGAGAGAGAGAGAGAATCTTAAGCGTGGGAATCTCAAGCATGGCTTGATCCCATGACCCTGGGATCATGACTGAGCTGAAATCAAGAGTCAGATGCTGAACCGACTGAGCCACCCAGGCACCTGATATTTGTCTCATTAATATCCAATTCTGTCTCTACTGTTCTTTCATTGACTCTAAGAAGATGAAATCATGATAAATACAATATTTTGAAAAACATTTTATGTGGAAATTATATGAAATACATGAAGTACAAACAAAGCATATAACTCAGGATACAAGTTCATACATGTAAGACATGAGAAGGTGGCAATTTCATAAGGATGCCTGGATGATGGTGATTATAAGCCAACATTGGTTATATGATGCATCCTGATTCCGGAGATGTTAAAATGTGAAGAATATGTGCATATTAGAATTGATGAAATATGACATTTCTCTTTTTGTGTTGGGTTACAGTTTAAATTTTCTATTGAAAATCATGTTTTTATTTTAATGTCTACTGTTTTTACAGATTTATTGAGCTATAACTTACATACCATAAAATTTACCCATTTAAAGTATATTGATTCAACAGTTTGGGGTACATTTACAGACTCGTGCAACCATCACTATAATCTAATTTTAGAACATATTAATCAGTTCTCAAAAATCCTTGTACCTCTTAGCCTCTTTCCTCATTCCCCTGATTCTCCTTCATCCATTTAATAAGTATTCTTATTTAAATATCTTAATTTATTTCTCTATATATACATTTTATGTTTTATTTTTATTCTTGTTTTATAGCTTGTTTAAATTAAAAAAAAATATATTCTTTTAGCTGTTAGAAGATCATAAATTCTGAATGATATTTTCTTTTTTTTTTTTTAATTTTTTTTTCAACGTTTATTTATTTTTTTGGGACAGAGAGAGACAGAGCATGAACGGGGGAGGGGCAGAGAGAGAGGGAGACACAGAATCTGAAACAGGCTCCAGGCTCTGAGCCATCAGCCCAGAGCCCAACGCGGGGCTCGAACTCCCGGACCGCGAGATCGTGACCTGGCTGAAGTCGGACGCTTAACCGACTGCGCCACCCAGGCGCCCCTGAATGATATTTTCTTTCCCTTTGAGATTAAGTGAATTTTCTCATTGTTGATTTTATTGGCTTTCTTTGTTAACAGTGTTTATCATGTATTTTAGGATCTGGGTATGTGTAGACCTATCTTTATGAAAGGTGGTTCTTCCCTTCCCTCTTTCTCTTTGAGCTCATGCTTATCCCTCTGTTGGTCTTAGAACTAATTCTTACATTGCCAGATTCATCCTGCATCTGGAAGTGATTTTGATAGTATTGTAGACCCAGACACCAAACCAGTGGGTAGGTTGACTCAGCCCTTGTCATGAAGACACTTCCGCTTTGTCTAGCTCAGACATGTAGACTGATTCGTGTCATAGTCGTAAGAACAATCTGGCCTCTTTGCTTAGCCCCTGCCTTTTGGAGAAGGGAATCTTATTCAGATCCTAGTATCAAATACTGGGCCTGATTCTGACTATAGTTTTAGTTGTGTTATACCAAAGAAAATGAAATTCTGGTAGATTCTGCTTTAAGACCTGGAATTGAGGGGCACCTGGTTGGCTCAGTTGGTTAAGCACCAACTTCGGCTCAGGTCATGATCTTGCACTTCGTGAGTTTGGGCCCAGTGTAGGGCTCTGTGCTGACAGCTCAGAGCCTGAAGACTGCTTTTGATCCTGTGTCTCCCCTCTCTCTGCCCCTCCCCCACTCATGCTTGCTCGCTCTCTTTCTCTCTCTCTCTCTCTCAAAAATAAACATTAAAAAAAAATTTTTTTTAAAGACCTGGAATTGAGCTTAGTACCCTAAGCTGTAACTTTGCCTACCACCTTAAATTTCCATCTCATTCTGGTCATGATAATATTTAATACTTTTCAGTGCATTTGTACCTTTTTGTGTTTTTAAGTGTTTATTAATACTATGTTATCTTTCAAATACTGTGTGTATGTGTGGGGAGAGAGGGTTATCTGTATCTGGAGCCTCAAAGCAAGATATGAAACATCATCTGTACTCTAAACCAGAAAAGTTTTTAAGATGTCAAATGAACCTTGAGCTACAGGCTCCTCTCTGATTGCCTCTGGAATGTTTTAGATCTGCTACCCTGCTGATATGTTTGAGGATCCATGTCTTTATTTTTATAATGCAAATATTTTTTTAGCTTTATTAAAGCATAATTGACAAATAAAATTCTAAGGTATTTAAGTGTAACCATGAAGTTTTGATATACATATTGTGAAAGGATTTCTCACATCTAGTTAATTAACACATCCAACACTATACACACACACACACACACATATAATTTGTATTACTATAATATAGTTTGTATTAATAATATATATATATATATATTTGGTAGGAATATTTAAGTTCTACTTCTTTAGGAACTATCAATTATACAATACAGTATTCTATCAGCTAATCATCATGTTCTATGCTAGATACTCAGACTTCATTCACCTTATAGCTTAAATTTTGTGCCCTTTTGCCAGCCTCTTCATATTTCCCCTATCTGTAGCCTCTAGCAGTCACTTTTCTACTCTCTTTTTCTATAAGTTTGGTTTTTGTTTATTTGTTTGTTTTTTTAGATTCCACATAGAAGTATTCCCTGCAGTATTCCCTGTCTGGCTTATTTCACTTAACATAATGCCCTCAAGATCCATCCATGTTGTCACAAATGTCAGGATTACCTTCTTTGTCATGGCTGAATAACATTCCACTATATATATAGACACCACAACTTCTTTATCCTTTCATCTGTTGACAGACACTTATATTGTGTCCATATCTTGGCTATCATGAATAATGCTGCAATGAACATATGAGTGCAGAAAGCTGATGCCCTGTTTTCGTTTCATTTGGATACATGCCAAAAGTGGGATTGTTGACCACACAGTAGTTCTATTTTTAATTTTTTGATGAACCTCCATTCTGTTTTCCATACTGGCTGTACTAATTTACATTCCCATCAACAATGCACAGGAGTTCCCTTGTCTCCACTTCCTTGTCAATACTTTTTATTTCTTGTCTTTTTGATGATAGCCATGCTAACAGGTGTGAGATAAAAATCTCCTTGTGGTCTTGACTTACATTCTCTGATGATTAGCGATGTTAGTACCATCACATGCACCTGCTGGCTATCTGCCTGTCATCTTAAGGTAAAATGTCTAGTCAGTTTCTCTGTCCATTTTTAATCTGAGGGTGTGTTTCTTTGCTATTGATTGCATGGGTTCTTAAATAAAGTTTTTTAACATTTATTCATTTTTGAGAGACAGAGAGAGACAGAACGTGAGCGGGGGAGGAGCAGAGAGAAAGAGAGGCACAGAATCTGAAGCAGGCTCTAGGCTCTGAGCTGTCAGCACCCAGCCTGATGCAGGGATCGAACTCATGAACCACAAGATCATGACCTGAGCTGAAGTCGGATGCTTAACCGATTGAGCCACCCAGGTACCCTGATTGTATGAGTTCTTTATATATTTTGGATATTAATACTTATCGGATATGTGATTTGCAAATAATTTCTCCCATTTGGTAGCTTGCCTTTTAATTTTGTTGATAGTTTCCTTTTCTGTGCAGAATTTTTTTAGTTTAAAGTGGTCCCATTTGTTTACTTTTACTTTTGTTGCCTTTGCTTTTGGTGTCAAACCCAAAAAAATCATTGCTAAGACTGGTGTCAAGGGGCTTACCCTCTATGTTTTCTTCTAGGATTTTTATGGTAGCAGGTCTTTACA